ACCCTCCTCCCCCCCCCCCCCCCCGTCCCTTCTCGTGGCTGGTGTATTGATGTCCCCTACCACACCGAGATGCTGTCCTGTCTCCTGGGGAGGCTGGAAGGCAGGACTGATCTGGGCCAGGGAGTCCTACCTGCTTCTCAGCAGCGAGCCTGATCTCATGCATCATCTTCAGTGGCTCCTCTAGTCCTTCTTCTTCCAAGTCCTGGTCTTGTGTTTTTCTCCCCCACTCCATCACCACTCATGTGCTGGACCAGAGCTGGGTTCTGCTCTCTGGGGGTGCAGAAATATAGATCCATCCCTCCAGTATTTCCTTGGTGGGGTTATAGCTCTGGTCTCTTTTTTCCCCCTTCTTCCCCGTTCCACTGCCCCTAGTTTGGAGTCAGTCAAATCCAAAGGAATCCTTCAGAATGCACTGGATACAGAGGAGACCCTTTTCATCACTTTAAAGCATGTGTAAATAGTGTTTAGCGAGTATTTAATTTATCTGCTTGGCATTTTTGTGATGGTTTTTATGTAAATCACTGACAGACCTAACAAATGTATATACATTGGTCATGATGAAAGTGTTTTCATGGTTTGTCATTGAGCAATAAATATTAAAACTCTGCAAAAGCTTAAAATTTAGCCAGAAGGTTGTAAAATTGTATGCTCCTTGGGGCAGGGATTCTTCATGCATACAGTTTCTAGCACACTTTGTGCTAACAGCATAGAAATCAATAAATCAATACATTTTCAGTGAAGAATAAAAAAAATACATCATTACACATCCTGTGCATTACTGTTGTATTCATAGAATATAGCAGGATGGATTCATTTAAATCAAAGTAGATTTAAATCACCAAGCAGGAAACCTTGATTTAGATAATTAATTGATTCTCATTATCTGCTATAATTTGGTGGTACTTTTTGCTAGCCAAGAGGATACACTGTTTATACATATTTATTTAATAAGTTATGTAGCGTAACATATATTTATTCAGATGATTAATTTTTACATATTTTTATTATGTTAGAAAGTGGAGAATGACACATTTTTTTATTTACTAGATTCATTGTTTAGTCCTGGTTTGTGTCAAGCAGCATTTGGCTAAAACTTGGAAGTCAATTAAAAATGCACAAAAACAGCATTTTAAGATTGGTTTTCATTAGGTAAATAAACTTGCATTAAATATGCAGGATACATAAGGGAAGAAAATTAAGTTTATCATGTTTTGCATTTAAAAATTCATTAAAGAAAGACAGTAATATTTGTTAGTGAATTGAACTACCATATATACTCGTTCATTAGCCCGTTCGTTTATAAGCCCACCCCCCAAAATGGATAGGTAAAAATAGCAAAAACTGCATGACTCTGCTGACCCTATATTTCAGGGTTTGGAAAACTTTGGCTCCTGGCCCGTCAGGGTAAGACGCTGGTGGGTTGGGACGTTTTGTTTACTTGGAGCATCTGCAGGCGCGGCCACAGAGAGCTGAGGGGCTCCATGCCTGCAGATGCTCCAGGTAAACAAAACGACAATGTATTAGATGTTCAATTCAATGATTCCATAGAGTTTAAAATCATCAAATTTTGGTGTAGACCCGTCTTTAAGCCGACCCCCTGCTCTTTGATGCGTCGCTTTTTTACCAAAAATATCCGGCTTATGAACGAGTATATACGGTAATTGTTTCTGGTCAGCATGTCCGTCACAATTTTTGAACTCGTAATTCTCCTCTTCTCTTACCACATTCTACTCAGATTTGACGAAGAAAACCAGCTTTCCTCCTTTTTTTTCCAGCTTCCAATTTGTTTCTCAACTTTGAATGAAGAACTAATCACTGAACACTAGTTGAATAAACTGAAATGAAAATATTCTCTCTGCACCTGCAGAAGAGGCTACTGCTATCAAAAGCTGGTTTAGCACTTCAACAAATTGATTCCAGGTGCTTAGCCAGTGACTTTTACAAACTCAGTGGTTTCTCTTTTTAAAACTTGAACATCATATATGTTCTGCTTAAATATTTTTTATTTAATTTAAGTGATTTATTAAGCTTTAACATAGGTTATCATAATTTCAAATTTAATTTTACATAGCTTTATTCTTTTTTATTTTTTAAATTGAAATTCTAAAAACAAAATCAGTTTTAAAAAGATTAAATCAATTTTTATCCACCTTGGGGCATAGTGAACCTCTCTTTGACTGACTACTGCAAAGCTGTCTAGTATTGCAGGCTTCACCATTATTAAGAGTGTAATTAATTTGTAAACTGAAGATAATTATAGAAGAGAGTATATGTATTTTGTAAAATTATATTAAGTTTATTAAAGCTTACTGCACATTTTTACTCAGTTCTGTTTCACGTCTGGTGACTTTGGCTTTGCAGCAGTAAGCAAGACCTCTCTTGCCATTAACAGAATGAGAGAACATCTGTTCTAAAATAGAGCTGGGCACTTGGTTTTATGCAGCATAGTTTTAAATGTTATCAAGTCACTGGTGTGTGGTGTAGTCTTCATTTTACTTTTTAAATTCCTGGTAAGTGAAGTAATAAGAGAAAGTATTGACCCCCTTCCCCCCATGCTTTATGTAATATCTCATTTTTCATGTCAACTTGATTTTAATGGGACTTTAATCAGGATAAACAGAGCATTAGTATAGTATGCATTCTTTGATCCATGTATATGCTGGTTTTTTGATCAATTACTATACATAGTTGGAAATGTTTGCATTCTAAAATTAGAAGCTTTCATTTGGTCATACCTTTACTTTTCAACTCAGGCAATGCTGCTGTGATCCAAAAATGTACGTGTTTGTGACTAGAATAATGTAATAAACAGTTTCCTGAGGGATGTATAAAGTATTATACAGTATGTGGACTCCAGTAAAAATATGAGGACATAGCAACTCATGCTGGAAATGAGATTTGTAATTTGTACTTCAGATGAGGTGAACATTTATTTTTTTCTATCAGAGGGGTAGCCGTGTTAGTCTGAATCTGTAAAAAGCAACAGAGGGTCCTGTGGCACCTTTAAGACTAACAGAAGTATTGGAA